AATTGATGTCACTTCTGATTTATGTGCTTATAAGGTAAAATCATAGATAAAAATTTATTTCTTTGTCTGTTGATATGTGACTCAGATTTCACAATTTAATCCATTTCCCATTATGTGAAATATATAGGTGCAACTGTCTGAGAAGCTCATGAGTAACGTGCTCTTTAAGAAGGTAGGCACGAGAGGGTTAAAGTTTACCTTGTGTAGTCTATATCTATATCATGTCCTCCTTACAAATTTGATGTAATTACAAACACAGCTTGGAGATTACGAAATAGCTTGGGTTGATTCTGAAGCAGGAAAGACAGAAAATGGAGCGCTATCTTTGCTACCCCTCTCAACCCCAGCTCCACCACATGAATCTGTCCTTGTTGGTGACTTAAAAATGGCTAATTTCAAGCAATTTCTTTCTGACAACGGTGTTCAGGTACCAAAATTATCTCAACTTCATGTTGCGAAATTTTATGCTCTAAGAAACTATTAAATGTGATACCATCTTCATCTGATGACCTTGACAGGTTGAATTTGCTGGTGGGGCTTTGCGATGCGGTGAATATGTGACACTACGCAAAGTTGGGGATGCAAGCCATAAGGTAGGTTGGCCAATAACCATACAGTTAGTTATACTGAGAGTGTAGCATGGCTTAAATTTTGGTGTGTAGATGGAAAGTCTGACTTGCGTGATTATGTCTTGTAGGGTGGTGGTTCTGGTACCCAGCAAATTGTGATTGAAGGCCCCTTATGTGAGGATTATTACAAGATTCGGGAGTATCTCTACTCGCAATTTTATTTGCTTTGAGTAGAGAGAAAGAGAGAGAGGCAGACACATCATCTGTAACGCCTTTTGATAAACTTTTACGAGAATGCAAGTTGTTCTTCAAACACATACTATTTTTTTTTACAACTTTTTTACTTGGGTGATATATATATTTTGGGATGACATAGGGGGTTTAAACCCCAACAACCAACACCTAAACAATAGGAAATTGGGTGATATTTTTAACTTATTACATTTATATGATTTCTCTATACACTTCAGATATGATAATATCCAAATTGTTCCTATTCGTTCAACTTTTTGTAACAAATTAAAATTGAGGAAGAAAAAAAAAATCTATCGTTCTCTCCTCTTCATCATAACATCGGAATAATTAAACGTGTCATCCTAAATTTTTTATTCTAATCAAGCATCAATGAAGACCTTTGAACAAAAAAAAACATAAATGAAGGCCGAACAAATTTACTAATATTAATTGTGTGTGATATTTTGTGGATAAAGTAACATCCATCAATCAAATTTTATAATAAGCCCGGTCATCCTATATTATAACACATATATCTCTTATTTTATTAATACTATTATAACATATATATATTTTATTTTATTAATACTAGCCTTTCCGCATGCGCTTCCGCGCTGCGAGAGACTTTAATTTTTTTTTTAAAATTAATTTTAGAATTAAAAAAAGATAATAGGTAGTTGTGTTCCTTAAAGCCCGCCCATGGGAATGGAGCGCATTTTGTGGCCAGCCGTTTACCTCCATTGGGAGAGCTCCCGCGGCGAAAGGGATTAGTCACTACTGTCGGCGGTGGATACCCTTGGGTCTCACCTAAAAAAAAAGGATGATCCATTATCTGATTTTTCATTTAATTTTAAATTTTTTTAATATAAAAAAGTGTGAATTTACCATATTATCCTCATTTAATTAATAATTTCAATTCTTAATGTGTGCATTAACCAATGACATTTTTTGGTATTTTGAATGTTTCACCATTCTCTGTCTTTTGCTTTATATATATAGATTATACTTCAAAGTGTAAATTTTTTGCCTGCTAAAAGTGTAAATACAATGGTTGGTGTTGTGAGACCCGAAGATACAGGGTCATGCATTGCTACAATTTTATAGAATTAAAAAAAGATAATGGGTAGTTGTGTTCCTTAAAAGGAGGATCCATTATCTGATTTTTCATTTAATTTTAAATTTTTTAAATATAAAAAAGTGTGAATTTACCATATTATCCTCATTTAATTAATAATTTCAATTCTTAATGTGTGCATCAACCAATGACATTTTTTGGTATTTTGAATGTTTCACTATTCTCTGCCTTTTGCTTTATATATATAGATTATACTTCAAAGTGTAAATTTTTTGTCTGCTAAAAGTGTAAATACAATGGTTGGTGTTGTGAGACCCGAAGATACAGGGTCATGCATTGCTACAATTAAATTTGTAGGAAAAATGGGAAAGAAAGTTTGCATGATAACTTCTTCAATTTAATTTACGTACCCATTGAATCAATTAATGTACAAGTTTGGAAAGTAGAAAAACAAATCCAGTCTCAGCACAGGGCGTCAAGTGTTCAAACTAAAACGCTCTCTCTCTCTCTCTCTCTCTCTCTCTCTCTTAAAGCCAGCTACTTTGGTTTGTAATTGACATTTTGTAAATGATGATCTGTCCACTGTCATAACTATATGAGAGAGAGGCCTAATAGTCAAATGCATGCATGCATGCATGCATGCTTTGTTCAAAAACTAAGTTTCATGCAACTGACATGTACGTAGTTGTTGCTCACGACGACCATAAACACTATATATGTATGACAGTGACCTCAGAGACCAAAAAAAAAACGCAATGCTCAACCTTCACTCTCTCACCTTCTCTCCAACTTCCAAAGCCTTAGAGACCATCGAGCCCAACCTTAACCTTAGATTTGATCTTATAGATTTTATCCTATACGTGTTCAGCCTCTTCGAGCCCTAAAAATCTCACGCATGGTCTCTCTCTTGTCGTCTTTCTCTACTTTCAAGCTCATGCCATGGAATTCCGTGCCTTTAATGGATTCCGATGATGGAACAAATTGATTTGAGGTTAGGCAAAAGTAGTTTTGTTTTTCCTTCAAATTGTGATGTTTGATTTGGGTTATAAGTTATTTGGTTTTGATTTGGTTGTAACTGTAGGTTTTCTGTTCCTTGAACCATAAATCAGAGAGGACTCAGACCTTAGACGAAAATTTGACAGGCACCATCTGACCTCTGCGGCCATCGTCGGTCACGACGGTAGTGTGTGGGCCCAGAGCTCCACCTTCCCTAAGGTTCCTTCCTTCTCCAACTTTCCCTATGAAATTATTTTTGTTTAATTTCATTATTAGATCTGTGCAAACTGGGCTCTGTTTGTTTCCTGGGAAAAAATTTAACGGCAAAGTGAAGTTATTGGATTGCAAATGCAGTTACTTGTAAAACTAATGAATACTAATTTAACCACTTGAGTTCAGATTCTGCTAGGATTCCTTTTTGCATAGGGTGTTTTTGCATAGATTATAAGTGGCGGATCCAGGATTCAAAATCCGACTGGGCGAAACTTACATTAAAAACTCAACGTTATGAGTAAATCTCATTAATAAACATAAAAATATACACCTAGTAGGAGGACATAATACCCCTTACCCTCAAATGCATCTCTATACATAAATAAAAGTTTAGCAACAAAAAAAACCATTCTTTTTCTTTTAAAAAAAAAAATTTCCAACTAATTCTTTGTTTTCTTGGGGTTCGGAATGTGATCTGACATAACAAAAGATAACCTATTTAATCCAACATCCCAACAAAAAATCAAATAAATTCTCATAATAACATCAATACCTTTGATCAAACTGTTGGAGCATGAAATTTCGAGTCCTCCAACAAGTAATCTCGTAATCAATGTTGAGAAGCCGGACACCATCTTCGATTGCCACCAATGAGAGGGGAGTACCTGCAAGAAAACACTCCGACGCTCTAGTCAATGTTCGTTCAGGAATATTGCGTATAGTCAGAATAATCTCATACCTCTCCCCCCTTATGCTATGGATTAGTTAGCCTTTTATAAGCATTGAACCCTTGGACTCCAAGTCCCATATTCCTTATCTCCATGCTCAATGGTAGTGGATATCATGTCATTTAATTCTAGGGAGCATGGAGATAAATAAGGGATATGGGACTTGGAGTCCAAGGGGGGAGAGGTATGAGATTATTCTGACTATAGACAATATTCCTGAACGAACACTGACTAGAGCGTCAATGAAAATTTTGGGGTAGTTGGTAGCAATCGTAGATGGTGTTCGGCTTCTCTCAACATTGATTACGAGATTACTTGTTGGAGAACCCAAAATTTCATGCCCCAACACAAACTTAACATACCAACAAAAAATCAAACATCTCAACAATACCAATATCAAATCAAACATCTCAACAAAATTCCAAAAATCAAAGACCTAATTAATTTCAACAAAGTTAGCAAATTATAATTCATTCTTAAGTAAACACTAGAATAGATTAGAACACATAATTCTAACCTATTTAAAATATATTAGATTCAATGTTGTCATATACAACATCTTAAAATTTGGCGTTAGGTAATTAAAGAGGAGATAATTAAAGAAGAGAGAAATTTTAGGTTATGAATACATGTGGGTTGCTCTTTGGGTGGGCATATGTTTGTATGTTTCACATGAGTTGGCCTATTATATATGGGGTATTTTTTATTTTTGAAAATTTTGGGGTAGGCAGCAGCCTACCTTGCCCTAGGTGTAGGACCGCCCCCCGGTTATAGAGATTGATTTTTGTTATATTCATGAATGAAAGGGTTGGATGATGTGAGTAACTCAAGTTTAGGAATTGATTATGATTGGTATTTGGTATAGTTCTCAATGAAATGGTTATTTTGTTCTATGTCTGGTTGCTATACTTCTTTTCCTTCTTATTTTTTTATGAAATCGTGTGTCCAGGAGCAAGCAGATTAAATTTTTTTTATTAAAAAAAATAAGTCAAACACGGTGCAATGAAGCCCATAAGTTGTAATAAAATTACTCTTTTACTCTTTTAAGGCACCCATTTGCACGCCATAAATAAAATATATATTTTAAGGCGGCCTTTCGTGGCAGTGTACGCCGTAAATACTTATTTACTGCGCGCATTGCACCATAAATACCCGTTTTTCTTGTAGTGTAGTCACTTTTTCAGCATGGAAACCTGGTTCCTTATCCTCCTCGCCACCCTCATCCTCTGCATCTCTTTCCTCCTCCTCACTCTATTCTTCACGTTCATCCCCTCCTCCATTTCCAAGGGAAAACCCACCAACCAACCCAAACTCCCTCCTGGCCCCCACCCCATCCCCCTTATAGGCAGCTTCTTATGGCTCCAAAAATCCATCCCCGATTTCGAGCCCATCCTCCGAAACCTACATGCCCAATACGGTCCCATAGTCACTCTCCGCCTCGCTTCTCTCCCCGCTATCTTCGTCGCCAACCGCTCCCTTGCCCACCAGGCCCTCATCCAAAACGGCGCCCTTTTCGCTGATCGTCCACAGGCCTTACCCACCCAGAGGATCACCAGCAGCAACCAACTCACCATCAGCTCCGGCGTCTATGGCCCCACCTGGCGCCTCCTCCGCCGCAACCTCACTTCCGAGATCCTCCACCCTTCCCGCCTTAAATCCTACTGTGGGTCCCGTAAATGGGTTCTCGACATTCTCATCCACCGCGTCGGATCCGAGTCTCAATCTCAGACTCAGTCCAAAGCCATCGGAGTCGTCGACCATTTTCAGTACGCCATGTTTTGCTTGCTGGTTTTGATGTGCTCCGGGGATAAGTTGAATGAGAACCAGATCAAACAAGTTGAGTACGTTCAGCGTCGCTTGCTTTTGAGTTTTTGGAGATTTAACTTCCTCAACTTTTGTCCCAAGTTGACAAAAATTCTGTTCAAAACCCGCTGGAGTGAGCTATTTCAGCTCCGTAAGGAACAAGAAGGCGTGCTCATCCCTCTGATTCGAGCACGACAAAACAAGGCCAAAACTGAGAGGCTGAGCAGAAAAGTCGACCACAAAGATGACGACGACGACTTTGTGTTGGCATATGTTGACACGTTACTGGAGCTGCAGCTTCCTGACGGGAAGGAAAAGAGGAAGCTCTCCGAAGACGAAATAGTAAGTCTCTGTTCGGAGTTTCTCAGCGCGGGTACTGATACTAGTTCCACTGCGTTGCAGTGGATCATGGCCAACATAGTCAAGTACCCACAAGTTCAAGACAAGCTCTTTGCAGAGATCAAAGGGGTTGTGGCAGAAACAGAGGAGGAGGTGAAAGAGGAGGTGCTGCACAAGTTACCATATCTGAAAGCTGTGATCTTGGAGGGACTAAGGCGCCATCCGCCGGGGCACTTTCTGCTGCCGCACGCTGTGACCCAGGACGTGGTTTTGGGCGGGCGTTTGGTGCCCAAGAATGGCATTGTGAATTTCATGGTGGCTGATTTGGGGTGGGACCCAGAGGTGTGGGAGGACCCCATGGCATTCAAGCCGGAGAGGTTCTTGAGTGGTGGTGGTAAATGTGGAGGAGCAGAAGAAGGGTTTTATTTAACAGGGAGCAGAGAGATTAAGATGATGCCGTTTGGGGTGGGGAGGAGAATTTGCCCTGCCTCTGGTTTGGCAATGCTTCATCTCCAGTATTTCGTGGCGAATTTGGTTTGGAAATTTGAGTGGAGAGCTGTGGATGGAGATGACGTTGACCTTTCAGAGAAGCCATTGTTCACTGTGGTCATGAAGAATCCATTGCAGGCCCACTTGTCCCCAAGAGTGAAGTGAGAGAGGGTTTATGGTTGTTGGTGTTATTAAACACTTATATATTAGACTGGAATAAAATATAGGGGTTGACTTATGTGATTCTGTAGGCAGGACAAAATGAATATGGGTAGAATATTTTAGAAAAAGTGACAAGTGAATGGCTAAGTATGGCTAGAATATTTTAGAAAAAGTGACAAGTGAATGGCTAAGTATGGCTGTGGAAGAAATCTCTAGAGCATGACTACTACAAACACGTGGTTGCGAGAAAGTGTCCAAGTCGGTGGACCAAGGCTGAGTCGGCAAATAATCAAAAGGTGGAGTCAACTAAAAAGAACTCCCAAACTAGATGTGGAGTGAACTAATAAACTACCAGCCCAACCTACGTAGAAGCTACCAGCTACCCGACCCAAACTAAGTCATGCATGTGGGGAGTAAACAAGCCAACTCCCAAACTATATGGGAGCAAACAAGCTACCCAAATTAAATATTAAAGTATGTTGAGGGCCAAATAGCCCAAATTAATCTAAATTTAGTGTGATGGCCAATTAGCCTATATCTATGTACTATTCTCCTTCAGTGTAATAAAATTATTTTATTCAACTATTATCGTATTGTCCTAAACTCCTTTACACATAAACCAACAACGGTATCAGAGCAACACATATCACACCTCATAAATTCCAACAATATCTCTCCTCTCTCTCTTTATTTTTTCTTTCTTTTCCTTCTCTCTCTCTCTCTCTCTCTCTCTCTCTTTCTTTTTTCTTTCTCTCCGCTAGTTTTCTTCTTCCTCTTGTCATGGGGTGATTTTTTTCTTCCCCTTGTCTTGGTTTTTTTGTTCTTTTTTCTTCTTCTTCTTCTTCTTCTCTCTTCTGGCTATAGGACAACAAAACAAGGCAAAATAGCCTTGGGATCATAGGATAAACATAATCTATTCTGTTGAATTTTATGGTATCTTCTCTACTTTCATTGCTATTTAGCGGACGAACACCATAAGTGAATTTTATACTAGTCTTGAGATTCATGTTTCTAGGATGTGGCGGCATGCATAAGATACAACGAAACTTTGTCACAAAGCTTTCGAGGGAGGGGCCTGTTCAAGAAGCTGAGAATTCAAAAGAGATTGAATAGCTCCTGTTATTCTGTTTATCCAATCCATCCTATCTGCATCATTTTCAGTCTGACCAAAACAGGATGGAAAATGTGGCCTGTCAGAAGAATGCTGTCCCGGATACTTCAATTATGTAGCTACTGATTCAGATGAAATGAAAAAATGCAAGGATTATTTAGCATCTTTGACTTGAGGCAAAAAGTATCCTATCTGCCTGCAAGGGGGAGACAGTGACAGTTGTTTTGATCAACATTAAACTAGTTTTGCGGTTACAAATGAGATAAAGAGAAAATGCTATCACATATCAACTTATTATTTCCAAGAGCTAAACTTGAGCCTAGTCGCTTTTTCTCGTGTTTTTCTTAGTAGAGTTATCTGTTAGACTTTGAACGGGAAAAGAGTCCCAGATTAGAAAGTTATAACTTTCCTACATTCTTTATAAGAGTAGTGATCTTTTATTATAATTAACACAATTGGGTTTTTCTGAAGTGGGCTTTGGACCTGTTGGCCTTATTCAAATTAAATATATATTTTTATATATTTAAGTTTTTGAATTTCAGATAATTTCAATTATTTTGAAATTCAAACTTCAGACATATCTGTTTCAATAGCCAAACGTACGGAGCAAATAACCAACTTTTGAAACCCAATACTTCTCACACAACGCTGAAATGCATTGAGAGTACCCATACTGTAGTTCGCCAGATACCAAAATTCAAGTGCTAGAATTTTGGTTTTGATAGTTGTATCCTGGTGGACAGTTGTCTGCAGAACCACAAGCACAGGAGTGGGGGCGAAATACTATCTAAAGGACATAGCAAATCTGCTAGCCTCTATCATCTCTGCAAGTTAGTATTTTTGGTTAATACAAACTCTTGTATCTTTATTTTTCTGTTGTTATATATTGATTCATTTAAAAGCCTTATATACATACATATATATATATATACAGAAATTCTCTTATACGGACATCCGGACGTTATTATCGTGCGGACGCTGTGTATTTTGTACTACCCCTTTCTGTTTTCTTGCATGTTTACAATAATGAAATAACCAACAACCAATCAACTACTTACTTGCAATGTGTAAGTTTTCAGTGGGGATATTATTCTGAAGCAAAGTCCAAGATCTGTATCCTCTGCATCCACCTTAATTGTTGAGGTGGACAGATCAACAATACGGGCAGCCCAGAATGTTCTCATTAAGTGACGGTACCCTATGTCTTCAACGAAATTAATCTTCCAAACACACCACTGTGATCTTTCAGGTGAAGGCGAGAAGTGATGTGATTGAGAGCCCTATTATGGTGATGGATGCAAGAGAAAAGAAAAATCAAGAGTGCAACAAAACCTAACAACATTAAAGAGTATAGCCGATTGGCTATACCGTTTAAAATAAACTTGGTTTCAGGATTTCAAGGTCTTGTGCCTTCAAATTATTGGCAGCTGCTTAGCTCAAGTTGTTGGTATTATGGTTATCTTGAGAGTTATGTTAAGCCATGCATTCAATTTTTAGTTCTAGAATAATGAAATAACCAACAGCCAATCAACTACTTACTTGCAATGTGTAAGTTTTCAGTGGGGATATTATTCTGAAGCAAAGTCGAAGATCTGTATCCTCTGCATCCACCTTAATTGTTGAGGTGGACAGATCAACAATACGGGCAGCCCAGAATGTTCTCATTAAGTGACGGTACCCTATGTCTTCAACGAAATTAATCTTCCAAACACACCACTGTGATCTTTCAGGTGAAGGCGAGAAGTGATGTGATTGAGAGCCCTATTATGGTGATGGATGCAAGAGAAAAGAAAAATCAAGAGTGAAACAAAACCTAACAACATTAAAGAGTATAGCTGATTGGCTATACCGTTTAAATATTCGAATTTATTATATTTAAAGAGTACAGCCGATCGGCTATACCGTTTAAATATTCGAATTTATTATATTTAAAGAGTACAGCCGATCGGCTATACCGTTTAAATATTCGAATTTATTATATTTAAAGAGTACAGCCGATCGGCTATACCGTTTAAATATTCGAATTTATTATATTTAAAGAGTACAGCCGATCGGCTATACCGTTTAAATATTCGAATTTATTATATTTAAAGAGTACAGCCGATCGGCTATACCGTTTAAATATTCGAATTTATTATATTTAAAGAGTACAGCCGATCGGCTATACCGTTTAAATATTCGAATTTATTATATTTAAAGAGTACAGCCGATCGGCTATACCGTTTAAATATTCGAATTTATTATATTTAAAGAGTACAGCCGATCGGCTATACCGTTTAAATATTCGAATTTATTATATTTAAAGAGTACAGCCGATCGGCTATACCGTTTAAATATTCGAATTTATTATATTTAACAAGTATAGCCTTTCGACTATACTCTTTAAATATTCAAATTTTAATTTTGTATCAAAATCCTTCTCGCCGGACCCTCTGCTGCTGACGTGTTTAGATCATAGGGGTGCAATTTGGATTTATTTCGGAGAAATGGAATTGAAATTTCCTCTTCTTCTTTTTTTTTTTTTTTCCCTTCAAACTTGGTTTCAGGATTTCAAGGGTCTTGTGCCTTTTAATTTTTGGCAGCTGCTTACCTCAAAGTAGTGGGTATTATGGTTATCTTGAGAGTTGAGATGAGTTAAGCCATGCATACAGTTTTAGTTCTACAATGAAATAACCCATTTGCATAATCACCTAATTACCTGCAAACGTGTAAGTTTGCACTGGACTGCAAGTTGATCAAATTGCTAGAATAAGTGCTAAATGTGTGTCAAGTAGTACCTAAAGAGCAATATTAGTCATATCCCATTTGCATATATACCACGTCTCTAATAAAAGTAGAACCTATTAATGCAATGGGGACTACTTTTCTTAGAAATATGGTACACAATGTGATATATAAATATCAAATGACTCGCATTTTTGAACTAAATATGGTGGTATAGAAAGGCGAAAGCATTATATGAGGATTATGTTCAATAGTACGTACTCTCATTTTCATCATAACTTCGCTTCTCCCTATTGCCATCATCATTCCCTTTCTTCTGTGCCCATAATGGACATTATCAATTTTGTTTAAGAAGACATGAAAAGATATTCAAACTTTGGATGCAATGCAAGTGCCAAAGTCTAAGCGTGTTAACTAAAATTCAATACATCCATTTGACTATGAATTACGAATTATCCAATCTTATGGTATGCACCACACGTGTGTAGATAGTTCCAAACAAATCAATTCAACATCAGTATGCGTCAGCAAGTACATCACTTAATATTTTCTTGCTCTCTACACTTCCTATATAGTCCTTAACTTTATTGTTAAGCTTTCATTTCATTTCATTTGTGTTTTGTCTCATTGCACGCTAGTCAGTTTCTCACCATGGAAACCTGGTTCCTTATCCTCGCAACACTCTGCATCTCTTTTCTCCTCAAACCCCTTCTCAGTCTCTTCATCCCCTCCATTTCCAAACCCACCGATCAACCCAAACTCCCTCCTGGGCCCACCCCCATTCCCGTCATCGGCCGGTTGTTATGGCTCCGAAGATCCTTCTCCGAAATCGAGCCCATCCTCCGAAACCTCAGGGCCCAATACGGGCCCATCATCACTATCCGCATCGGCTCCCGCCCCGCCGTCTTCATCGCCAACCGCTCCCTCGCCCACCAGGCCCTCATCCAGAACGGCGCTGTCTTCGCCGACCGCCCGCCCGCCTTACCCACCAACAAGATCGTCAGCAGTAACCAACACAACATCAGCTCCGCCGTCTACGGCCCCACGTGGCGCCTTCTCCGCCGCAACCTCACCTCCGAGATCCTCCACCCTTCCCGCGTCAAATCCTACGGCGAGGCCCGTAAATGGGTTCTGGATATTCTCATCAACCGTCTCGGATCCGAGTCTCAATCACAGTCCAAAGGCATCAGAGTGGTAGACCATTTTCAGTACGCCATGTTTTGCTTGCTGGTTTTGATGTGCTTTGGGGACA